ACCATGTACTGTACTGTATGTTACATATACATCCACAGTATTTCTGGTTTTAGCAATCTCACAAAATTCTGTTCTTAAAACAAATTAGAGAGTGACCAGATCGATTTGACCTTGTTCTGACACTGTCTATGTGGTATCAATGTCACTTTCAAATATGGCAGGAACGAAAATATAGCATTCAATGAACTGTTGTATTGTTCAAACTGTATCAATAAAAAGTAATATTTTTATTAAAAAGATTGGGTCGTCCAAAAGCACAATTAGAGTAACCCCTCTGGTATTTTCGTGTTATATTATGTAAAACAAGTATTTCTATCGACTTACAATGTTAAGGCTTCAGACAATCCGTTAACTGTATCAATTTGATGATTGCTCTCAGCCATGAACTCATCCTGCATCAATTTTGTAAGACAAATGTACGAAATAAAATTGAAATAGCCCACTTCAATGTGCTCCGATCTGTGATTGACTGCCTGGGCTCAATATCCAGGCAACTGATTGTATTTGCTAAGACTGACGACGGGAAGTTCGATGCCCAATAAAACATCGTTATTTATCGAATCTGGTGAAAAATCTTCCGAAAACATACATTTCAACAATAACAGTCATATACTTTGATCATTTTGAAATAAAAGAAGCGCACTTATATTACTTTTTTTCAATTATTTATATTGCTGTAAAATTTGAAGAGTCATAATTTTATCCTTTGGGAATGTTATTTCAATAACTTAAAAGGGTTTTACAATATAAATTCATCTAAAAAAAACTGTATGTTGTTTTAGACTTATTGTGTTCTAAACATTTGGTTCTTCATTGGTTGTCCTGTTGATTTTCTCAATATATTGGTGAAACTGTGCTCATGATATGGTCATATCTAAGGCATATATGATGCTATATGAGCAGTTATATTAGGACATAACTGGTTGTCCGGGAGAACAATCCAGACGATCTAATCCCTTTAAATTGATTGTTGATCAAATGTGAGTTTTTTCAGACTCACAGAAACTGAGAAATGAGGTTTTACTTGTAAAAAAATATTTGATAAATATACACATGTCACTGTGACCTAATTGTAATAAAATGTTTTCAGCCATATTTACAGAGGTCTTGAACACCTTGGCACGTGTATTTCAATGGGTCCCATTTTATTCACATCATGTCCATTTTGAGCCTGCATATTGAAAAAGATATGTGAAACAAATAAAATTGTTTTTTTTTGTCATTTAGGCCTAGTTTCACTCATTAATTCTCATATGCTTTCAGAAAACATACAAGAGGAGAGTAGACGAGGGATCAACCAAAAAGATATTCAGCCAGGAGGTAATCCAATTTAGTTATTGTTGATCATCAGGGCATTTTAGGATATCAACCTGTTCTTACAATATATAACCTGTGTATATTGAAAATTTTTTGCCAAGAAAAATGTTCAGTTTTGGTAGTTGTTCACTACAGAGAGGGTAATTTATACTGAAGTCTTTTGAGTATGCGTGGAGCGAGGATGTCCACTAGAGACAGGTGTTCAATAGAGAGATGTGTTCACTAAGACAGGTTTTACTGTAAATGTACCAGCCAATGTGCAAGAATACTGTACAGTACCATTTCAGTAATAGAACCATGCAGTATGGTAAAATATGGTCCTGTAGATACAAACAGTACCATGTGCTCCATGATTTAAGAGTGCCAATTTTGCATTTTGGGGTAAATATAAACTGAAGATCATTTTAAGGAATTTTTGTACATTTTAGTTATAAAAACTAACTAAAGAGAATGCTGAATTTTAATATTCAGTTTTTATGTTACGTTATTATTTCATTTCAGGTATGCGGGTCTGGTCAAATCCATTTGAAGCCAAGCCAGAAGATCAACCTAGTGGCAAACAACTATAACTAATCAAACAAACAACCCTGCAGTATCTTGCTTGGATCCTAACAAAAATATTTTATCACAAGAGTTCAGATCCAGCAAAGTGGCATTATCAGATTATAGTTTGTACAATTTTGATTGAAATACAAGTCCTCGTTCGCCCAGTGCAGTGTTTACGTATCTAAATAAATGGAATGTTTGTGAAGATTTAGAGTGTGGAATGGATTTAGGGAGGATAAGTAAAGATTATGCATGGAATAAATGAGTGTGGAGTCAAAACATTAACAGTACATTTTCTATAACATTTGGCCAAGTTCATGTGAATTTTTTATTCAGTTTCAAAGAAATGGATTAAAATGGCAATTGTGATAAAAAAAATCCCAATGGAATCCATTTCCTACATTAAAAGTCCATGTCCTACATAAGGAAATTTGAAAATTCAGATTTACAGTTCAATTGAGCCCCTCTTTATTTTACACCTGTGAGAGATATTAGAGGTTATAGATTAGAAACCTACAATGGGACTAGCATAAAAAGAGGTTTCTAAATTAATTTGCATATAAAAATGGATTTATGGATTGTGAAATATTTGCCTCGCCTATTTAAATTTTCACATATATTTAGATTATCGCTACACCTCTGAATGCATTCATGCCTGAACTCCATTTACCACCTCCATCGGGAAACCAATAAGTAGGGGGGGGGGCAAATTTCAGGTCAGAGAAACCAAAAAGTTGGGCCAAATTTTGAAATTTTGAGGCCCATTTTCTTCAAAATTTGGCCTGAAATTAAAAAATAAGGCCTTAATAGGCCCAGTAATGGCCAAAAAGGCCCCTTTTTGGGCCCAAAATTTTTTAAGCCCAATTTTTTTTTCTGGCCCCCCCCAGATCCGCCAGTGACCTCCATTCATACTCTCGGCCTATCAATTCCCAGAGAGAATGGTGGAGGGGTATGGGTTTGATCAAGAGATCAAGGTAAAATGTTCAAATTAATAACATAGACCAGTAGATATGTTTTCAGTTGCTTTATTATATAATTTATCATTCAGATCATTCATAAACAAAAAGATGTGTAAAATCACAGGACCAAGAATATATCTTGACCTAGAATGGCATGATGGGAGGACATCTTGTTTGTATAGCCTTGTTAGAGATAGGTCAATGTTGACCAATTCGTAATAATAACAGTCATTTGATATCCAAAGACAATGGAGCAAAGCATACCATATGGTTCAATGGCTTATTGAGGATAAATCGTAGCTCCACTTAACAGTCATGGTTGATTTAATTCTTCATTTCATTCATGAGTGCATGAACCAATTACTAAAGATCTCATAGAAAAATCATTGTGCCTACTGGGAATTTCCATAATACGTTTTAAGTTTTAGCCCATTCTTTACTATAAAATAGAAAATGTACTGTGGGATTCAATGCCTTCATTGGGCATTATCAGCTATTTTTCATTTGATGACAAAGCATACTTCATTAAGCTGGCGCAGTTGAATTGATTTTTTAGTAATTGGGGACATAAAAATTGTTAGTCTCAGAACTTTTTTGTGGCTGGTTTTCGGCAGTTGGTGTTTGGTGTCTGTAACAAGTGGCAAGTGGTGACATTTTGCATGTTAATGCCTTCTCATTGAATTATTTTACCAATTACAAAAAATGTCACAGAAATATTATATTATTATTGTGCTGATAGTCAACTCTCATCATACATACAATATAGGCGTATGATCATTATGAATTAAAACAGTAAAATGAATTGCATGTACATACATGGTGTAGTCGACCAAGTCATAATTTAACAGGAATATGAGCAATATAAAAATAAAGTTGTTTATTTACTTTCACATTGCGAAATATTTGTACATACTGTAAAATGTTGTCTATAAAATGTATTGTATTTAATTACATCGAGATGGATTCAAATCATATTTTGTTTTGTTCTTTGAAGATATGTAGAATATGATAGATATTTGAGATAATAAATAAAGATTCAGGAATGGATATAGAGATTATCCCTTATGAGGTTCAGGATATTGAAATTATCCTGATCCCCCAAAAATGTATCTGCCAACTCAGCATAAAGCAATTGTTTTATCTCATGGTTGGAAGTGTAATTGTTGTGTAAAAATTTAGCAAAAATATTTTCCACCATTCACTTTTCACTTGATATCCTATTGATATCAAATTGTTGAAACCTGCTTTATATACCTCAAACATATTCAAGTATGGAATAGATATATCACTCTGGATAAACCCTTGCAGTTGCTTGCAGTTTATAACTCTTATCCTTCCTGGATATTAGATAAGACTCATATCCGCAACCTTCCATTTCATAACCCTCACCTGGCCTATGCTAAGAATCAGAACTTCCAAACTCGAATGGTCAACTACATGTACATCAAAATGGTTTCATAAATTTCAGATCAGATGCATTCATATCACAGCTGCAGCACACATCTACCTGATCCTGTATTGCAAATTGCACATATTCATATCAGATGCTGTCACTTCTGAACCACACATTTATCCCATATTGCATTGCACATATTCAGATCAGATGCCTAAGTTTTGAACCACACATTTATCTGGTCCCATATTAGATGCCTTCAGTTCTGAACCACACATTTATCCCATATTGAATTGCATATACAGAATTCAGATCAGATCCTTTCACTTCTGAACCACACATCATTGCGTATAAGATATCTCCACTGCTGAACCACACATTTATCCCATATTGCATTGCACATATTCAGATAGGTTGCCTTCACTTCTGAGTTCTGAACCACACATTAATCCGGTTCCATATTGCACTCCATTCATTCACAACTCAATTGCATTAAACTGTAAAGTCCTTTTGTCAAGCAGGTTCATAGTTATAATCCCTAGATGTCCTTGGTGCGTCAACAGCGTAGATTGTGACGTCTCTAAAGTCAATAACCAGGCCAGATCCATGATATCCAATGTTACACATGATGATACAATATTCAAAGAAGGCAAATCCAGAATATGCTGGAAATATACAAAATACGACTTTGAACATAACACATGAAATTATTATAAAAAGTTTATTTATTAAAGATTTATATACATGTACAAGTAGTTTATTAAATTATTATAAAAGATTTATTTTACAGTCAGTGTCAAAGGCTCATTTTTTGCTCAATTAATGGTACAAATACCATAAAGTATACAATCGTAAGGTATATTTTGCATATCGTACTTCTTGTATGGACTGCAGTGCATTGTTAAAAACATTTAGTACAATGTAAGTGTTCAATTTAGACATTGCATTTTAGTTTGGAGAAGTATGAGTCATGCTTTATAAATGTCTAAATGACTCTGAATTTAGACTGCCAGTTCAATTACAAATGATCCACAAAAATTTGTATTACATAATCAATGACAATTAAATTATGTACATTTTATAAATAAAGAAATTCTGACTTCATAAAATTAAATTACTTGGAGGAAAATGGGACATACTATACAATACACTGGGTGTCAATTTGCGCTGTGACCCCATCCACCATCCACAACCAATACAAGCCTCATAGTTCAAAATATTTTGTCAATGGGGACAATAAACTGACATATTCCAAAATCTGCTGTTATCATTCCCAAGCCGACTTTCTGCTTCCAAAGCTGCCCAAGGTGGGCATACAGACTCTTAATCATCGTGCCAGATTATTGACAACATTACGAGTAGAAATTTAAAACTTTCAACATTTATCCAGAATTAAATAAGCTTTAATTTGATATATAGTTTGCGTGGATGCCTTCCCTGGTACTGGCTGTTAAGTGGCCCGTATATATAGACTATAGACTTATACAATTATAGCACTTCATAGCAATAGCTGTTCATGATCAATTTAATGTAATTTGGCAAGGTATCAGGCAACTAAAGGCAATAACATTAAAATGAGATACTTTATAAAGTGAGATACTTTAATATCTTAATTTTAACTTGATGCCTCATATCATTAGTTTAGAGTGTATCCATTTTTTGCCTGCTTGCTATTTCCTAATACTGTACTTCTAAAAATTATTTATTGTCACATATCCTATTTCTTAGTCCAATTTGACAGAATCTTGTGAATTTAAAGTATTGTCATATAATAGAGTTCCTTTGAAGTCCATGATGCCTGTCCCATGGAATGCAATGTTGGCCAAAATGATTGTATATTCGCACATTGCAAATAGTGTATAGACTGGAAAAGTAAAAGAAACAGTGTATGGATAAGATAATTTTAGATGAAGAGCCTTCAAAAAGAAAAACACTTTAAAATCTTGTGTTGGAAGCTGAGGGTGAGTCGCACTAGAGGCTATACAGCTATACACCATGCCTCTTTGAATGGCCACTTGTACAACTTAATGTTAGACTTTCTCAAGAAAATTTCATTTTGTTTAAACTCGTAAACCTAGACCTGTAGACATGAAACAAAACTGGTCCAGACTGGAAGAAATGCTCAAATTTTCAGTGACAAAATTTTTGTTCTGCCTGGTTATTTCACAGGTCTAACTTCTCTTAAATGACAATGGTTTATGAGTGGAAAGGATTTTCTAACATCTTCAATTAACTCAGCAAGGAGTCCAGGACATGCAGGCTCATAGCCAGGGGGGAGGGGCTTGGGGTGCTGTCAAACCCCTCCCCCTGGCCAAAACTTATTTCAAAATCATACAGTTTTCACCATTTTGAGCAGTTGGATGCCATTGGAATTTTTCGAGTGACGACCCCCTTGGCTACAGGCTTGACATGCTTTTTGACAAGCATATGGTTTGTACTCGTACTCTGATGGGTAAATAACAAGGGGTAATTTTCTACTCAATTTTGATGCTTCAAAAATATTTTTCACGAAACATGCCCTGGACCTTTATGTTCAATGCTTTCTTACCTCCAGACTCGCAGAATTTGTTGTGTCGCCAGAAAAAGTAGCAAGCAAATAGCAGACTTAGTAAGCTGAATAGAAACAGTCCTAGTTTAGTTCGGAATGATCTCTTTTCCTGAAAACAAAAGTAAAAATAGAAAGAGTTATTGAATCATTATTAGGCTATTGAATATTATTGAAAATTTGCAAAACAAACAGAGTTGTTATAGCATTTAAGAATCAAAATTCTCTCTTCTCAGATTTAAGGTTGAAATTCAAAGATCTGCATTGTTCTTTATAAATGAAAAATAAATATTAAAGAGGCAGTTATTTCTAACACGATCGCCATTAAGAAAGGAGCAATTAGAAGTCATTTAAAGGCTCCATGCAAATTTTGAAAATATTTTCTAATAAACAATTTCTACCATTCAAACCTTATTTTTCATGAATAAAAAAGCTGTTTTGGACATTTTTTGAAAAAAAAGAATTTTCAATACTCCTAAACTTATGTACACAACTATATATATGACCTACCTGTGATGTCATAGAGCGACCCTGCCTTCCCCATTTGTAGATATATAGAGTCAGCAGCATATACACCATTGAGCATATAAGAAACCCGATGAAGCTTTTTTCATGGAAGGCTGAAATATACCTACAGTTTATAAACATCCAATAAAAAAAATTAAACTTTTATTATGTCATGTAATGACTAACAAACTTTATCAATTAGAGTCCATTTCACTGCTTCAGTTCGTCAGTAGAACGGCAAAAATAAGAAATTGGGAGACCATTGTGCAATAATATATGGAAAAGTATATTTATAATGTACATGAATGACATTTGTATATCTTGGATTGCTTCGAGTTTGGCTTATAAAGTGTGTGGCCTCTTATATTTGGATGTTTCTCTGCCATGTTATTTTCAATAAGATTAACATGGCTGAAATTCTTCAAATTACAAGACGGCACAGGCTTATTGCACAAAAAACTAAAAAATCTGAAATATACAAATGTCATTCATGTACATTATGAATATACTTTTCCATATATTATTGCACAATGGTCTCCCAATTTCTTATTTTTGCCGTTCTACTGACGAACTGAAGCAGTGAAATGGACTCTAAGTATAGTATGTCAACTAAGAGTTAAGTGAACAATTATTTTCTGTAATTGCATCAACTGACATTAATTAACATTAATAAGTTAACTTACAAAAATTCTGTAATTAAGTCAACTTACAATAATTCTCTGTAGATGATACCATTGATAGACATATGAGGCAGATATTCTCCAGGACATTCAGGGCACAATTAACGAGAACAGCAATGCCATATGTGCCACCCTTATTCCCTGACTGTGCCATGTGGAAATTGTAATATATAACAGCGACCATGAACCTGGGTGCACAATGTAGACCTATACATATTCGCCAGATATAACGCTGTGGTGTGAATCCTCCTATTGCAGAACTGGTTGATGGTAAAAAGTTTGGTACCTACAAAAATATAAAAAATGTACTGTAGGGCATTATATTTAATTGATCTTAAGAATGACACATAAGTAAGTATGTCAAAATCTGTGGAAGATGCTCGTGTCTGGAGAGTACACAGAGTTCAGCAAAGGAGGGTAAGTTATCGATGTGCGAAGTAAGTTGAGATGCATGATTTGACACAGATGAAAATGATGTATTTCTTCTGCAAAATAATTATGAATCTTACCCCACAATGTGTAGCTGTAGATGCCTCGAAGTTGTACTTTATCGACATCCAAACACAAGTGATAAATCCAAAAACCGGAAGAGATAGAACAATCGTTGCTACGGTCTTCGCTTTCATTTGAAAGTAAATTTCCCTACTTTTTCCACCACTTGTCGACATCTTGGCCAAAATATGGGGCTATTGCTATAGTATTTTTGATATAGTTAGCGAAATATTAAATTTTGGGGATTTTTTTATTTTTTCGAAATTTGCCGGAAGTACAATGTGCGCATGCTCACAAGGTACTGTTCGTTCAGTACTGCTGTGCTTTTTGCAAATGTTTAATTTCCCGGGATTTTGAAATTAGTCTATACATTTGTTTTACTACAAAATAGAAAAATATTATATGGAAGAATACTAGATGCAAAACATTTGTATATTCAGATAAACTCTATGTGCAGTAATCCTGTAGCCTTGGGTAATTTAGAGAGTTTTGTGAGTATATTTTTTTGAGAATAACGTGTCTTGGAAAGCATCAAGATAAAAGCGGCCTGGCGTAAAGTTTGCCAAACCCCAACAATCCAATATAAACAAATGTTTTTAATCTATAATAATAATACCAATTTATTTTACCATATAATATTGTTATGTGGTCTTTTGATAGTTTATTTTTCAGGTTCAATTGACACACAGGCCAATTGTCTCACATATAGTAATGTGTAATATTTGGGGAAGAGAACAAGGATTGGCTCCCAGAGTGCAACATCGATATTTTTGCCATATATGGTCATGTCATGATTACAAAATTCGAATTCAAACAGCTGCCATTTTCTTCACTTCAACACATTTGGATAGTGAATTTTGGTCTTATTTCAAAACAAAAAATTCCAAAACTCACAAGAGATGAGAGATATTGGTCCCAATCTTTAGGACTGTTTATTTTGAATTTGTATTTATATTATGCATATATCATATAGCATATATGAAAAATCATTCCTGATATAAACAAATGGGAAAAGATGGGTCTGGCTTAGGGAAAACTGGATTATGCGATATCTACTCAATAAAAGATTCTTGAAAATACATTCATATGGGTTTTGGAACAAAAAGATGTGACAGATTGATCATCTGATTTGCCTTGCGTCTCATTTTCCCGCTCATTTTATCATGAGACAATTTTTCACCTTTCAGTTCATAAATAACAGCAATAATGGAGTGAATATATCAACTTTTTATTCCTATAAATAAAGTGGTTCTGTCCATTTACAATTGTATGATATATGGGTATACCAATGATATATACCATATAGATATATGTATACAGAATTGCCTTGTATACATGATGTAACAATAATCAACATTCAAGAAAATGTTCCGATAATAACTTCATGTTTCATTCAATTATCCATATTAGGACCTCATCTCCAATGTCTTGTACCAATATCTATACTATGGGAACATTGTTGTATGTCTGCCTAGGGGGGGCCCCATACTTTCGGGACACCCTGTACTGCCCATCGTATCCACATTAGACCACATATACAGTTCATATTATCTTTTTATTATCTGTTTCTGTCATTGTCATCTGTTTGTGTCATAGTCATCTGTTTACATCAATGTCATCTGTTTACATCAATGTCATCTGTTTACATCATTGTCATCTGTTTACATCATTGTCTATTCCTTCTTGTCTTTTTCCAAATAGAGAACTGTACAGGTCATTTCTGAAATACAGATTAAAATGCCATAAGTAACTTTCCTCTAAATATGCTGTATAGTACATAGACAATGCACAGATGCATGCAATGGTTTGTACTAAACTTAAACGCTTACAAGACAATTAAACAGTGTAATTATTGCAGAAATTTAATTTAAATCATCACCAATAGGTGGAACACCTGTCAGCCTAGTTTTAGTTAATGTGTTCATTTTATATTTACTTTTGTAAAATTCTTGATCATGAATCACAGGGGTAAAGCAGACCCGATGATAAAATGAGCTTGCTAGGCAGTAGCATGGACTGGGTCAATGGGCTTAATGTATTAGCGAGCACGGCGGTAGGTTCAAACAATGTGGATCCTTAAAGCATGTGCTCATGGTATCATCAAAGCTTAACACCCGTGATGAATTGTAGAATCAATAGAAGAATTAAATTCTACCAATAAATATGCCATCTATCAAAGTCATCATTAAATATAACTTGTTAACATTAATTGTATATTTACCTGGATTCCTCAGTCCAACTGCTGTTATCAACTGGAGCCATAAAATTGACAAGTTTTTGATGGACATCATATCTGAAAATGGAACATTACATACATGTATTGTGAAATCTAGGTAAGCAGGGCGAAACATTTTAAATTCAATATTTTCCATCCTGATGTGTTTTTCTGAATGGTCATTACACAAGTATTAGATACGGGAAATATTCCATGAAAAGTGACATTGAATCATCAACGAAACAGTCAATAGATATGACATTTTGTGACATATTTGGAAAGTTGAATCAGTAAGCAGTCAATAGCTAAAATTGCTAGCATTTATGAATAAGGCCTCAGTTAAAACCAAGTGTTCCAACAAAATAAAAACAAGGCATTAACATGCAAAATTTTGATTGTGTTTTATCCAGTTGAGATAACCCACTGATTGTGTTATCATAGGTGGCGCTACGGTGCAGCCTTAGCCTCGTTCTGACCCTTGAATTATTCTCTATTGTTTATCACTCATTGCCACATACACTTATTTGTGCAAGTATACAACAATTTGGACATTTATTAGCAAAGTGTACCTTATTTTCCTCCCCTTGCTAGCCCTTGTATCCACTTTCCTCTTAGTCTTGTTTCGTAGTTTTTGAATCTCTAGCCATTGTCTGTAAATAAATTACAAGATTGCATAACGAATAAATAAAAATTCAACAATCATATTTTGAGTCTGCCGTTTCAATAATATTCTAAAAACTTAACTCATTTAGGAAGCTAATTTTTGGTTGCCACTTTCAATTTTAAGTTACTTAGCAACCAAATGTAAGGCACACAGGATTTATTGTTTCAAGGAAATAATATGCCCTGAAATAAGTGTTCAGGGAAACGTTGTTTTTTATTTCTAATAGCCATTTAATATATACAGAATATCACATCATTTTGAGTGATATCATTTTTATCGCCGAGTTGATATCAAATATCAACACGAGTGAGCGAAGCGAATGAGTGTTGATATTTGATATCTACGAGGCGATAAAATGATATCACAAGAAATTATGTGATATTGGGTTTATCCCATGATTACAATCACATTGTGATGTTATGATCCAATTTCCAGGACATTGGCAGACAATATAAACTAGAAATTAGAATATCAATTGAATATTTGAAACACTTTATTTTAACAATTAAAAGTAAATAACATGATATAGTTCGTCATAAATACCATTTTTAATCGTTAGTTAGCAGCCTTATAATCAAATTATATACACAATCGTAATTCAATACAGCAATGAAACTTAAAGAAAACAGATTAACGGACCTATTTTCTCAAAAGAGAATGAATTATCTGACCTAATTTCCAACAATATTGTGGCGCGAAATGCAAATGTGATATCACACGGATATGCGTGAGATAAACAATATCACACGCATATGAGTTTGATAAACGATTTTCTGGAAAATATCACACGGATTTCAATAATATCAGAAATATCAATAGCTGTTATTGTACAGATAACACATTAATCGTGGGATAAATTATTATATTCATGGGAATACAGTAAAACCAGTATATCTGAACACCTCCAAATCTGAACACCTCTCATTGTGAACACTTTTTCTCAGTCCCAATTTTGTTATCTTCCATTGACTATTAAGTTTATAAAACCTTGAAAAATGAACACCTGATAATCCAAACACTTTTGGCCAGTCCCATTGGTGTTCAGATTAAATGTAGGATTAGAAAGGTTTTACTGTACACCATTTTCAGAGCTGTCATTTACAAACCTGCTGAGTTCTATAGGATCTTGCAGATCTGTTGTTTTTCTTTCAATGAGTTCCCGTAGCAACTGATGATAGAAATCATCATCATCAAATATCTCTGTGTTGTACTCTTGCTCCTTTGCTTGCTGCTCTTTCTGTGTAATGCTAGCCTGTAAGTATGGGAGAAACACATTAAGGGTTAATTTGAAATGCACAAAGCTCCAAGCTATTTGGTGCATGTACAGGTGGGTGACAGTGAACCTAGCAGTCTGAGTGTCTATGAGTCTATGAGTTGGGGCATAATGGTTCTTTTGTGTAATGTTAGCCTGTTAGTATGGGAGAAACACATTAAGGGGTCATTTGAGATGCACAAAGTTCCCAGGCTATGTATAGGTGGAAGAGAGTGAATTGGTTGCCCAGAGTTACTACTATCTATGAGATAAGACTCAAACAGTATTTCTGTGTAATGTTAGCCTGTAAGTATGGGAGAAACACATTAAGGGTTAATTTGAGATGCACAAAGCTCGCAGCTATTTGGCGCATACACAGGTGGATGTCAGTGAATTTAGCGGCCAAGGTTACTACTGTCTATGAGTTAGGACTCCATATGATTTCTTCTGCCTTATACTAGCCTATATGGGGCACATTAACCGTTATATATATTAACCTATTATAATATCTCACACCTGATTGGGTTTGACTTTTAACAACTCGAATTGATACCAGAAAATGATTTATTAGGCAAGGGAATATCTTTTTATCATGGAATAATTTTAGAAATGATTAGCCGAATCCCAATATTTTTCCACTTTTTACATTCACTTGTCTGTTGCGAATATTTCATTATAAAATAGGTTTACCTGTAAATTTTCATCTTTTACGGCATCTGCTGGTTTCTCTAATGGATCTCCCAACACTCTATAGGGGCTGCGTTTCAATTGGGTGCGCTTTACCAGGTGTGGTTTATCTGATAATATCTAAAAAGAACTTTTTTCATGAAAATACATACAAACAAAAAAGCTGTCTCTGAAATACTACACAATTTGTAACAGCTTGTAATTTCCTAAAAATCCACATTATCAGCTATTTTTACATTCATCAAACTAAACAAACCAGATTCTTACACTTTTCTACCCCAAAAAAAACTGGAGTATATAGGCCAGCTTTATGATGTTATACTTTACAGGCAGCGATGTTTGTAAACAAAATTGAAATAAGTTTTTGAAAATAACTAATAAATTAATTTTAATTGGGTAAGTATGATTTATGATTGTATTTTAATGTCTCAGAACTTGTTATTCAAATATTATTTACTTCAGACGTTTTGACTACCTACAACAGTCATGATCACAGTACTAGTTGAGTCGAAATATCTGAAGTAATTATTTTTTGAATAATAAGGTTTGAGACATTGAAACACAATCACAAAAGTTAAATCATAATTCTGCCGTTAAAATGTAAGAATGTTATGATATCAAATAGGTAGCAAGATTTACAGAATCGGAATAAATACATAAGGCAAGAACAACTAACCTGATCAATCTGTTTCACAGCAGACTGGTCAAAGACGCTAAACGATTTACTGCTAAGTTTTCCAGACGCTAGCCTCGTTTTGTCATACCATTTCTGTATTGTAGCATTCCTAAACAAGCAAATGGGAAAAATAAAATGCAAAACATTTTCCAACAGTTTTTCAACTTTTATATATACAATATTATATATTTATATATGTACACGTTTGTTGTGATTCTGATTTTACATACATTGTACATATGTTTACATGATATTTAATTGCATCTGTATTTCTAACTCCCAAGAAAAATTAATAAGGAATGGAATTTGACCAATTAGATTTATTGTCTTTAATTAAAAACAAGCTGAGATTTTAAAAATATCCCTTACAATTTCATGGCACCCTAAATTGTCAACAGAATCTCCTACCAGTACTAAGTACATTTTATCATTATAAAACATCTTATATTTTAACAATGGGGCACAATTGTTTTAAAATTAAATTGCATATAATAATACCCTTTGCATTCGTTCAACTTCACTTCTTAAAAGAGAGCTTCGTCTTCACTCTTTCAGTTTACAATAAATCTCTGATCTCTGATCTCTGATCTCACCGAGATCTCACCGAGATCGTCGTCGAAATACGGACGACTTTCTATATGGTCATTTCCTCTTACATCACCGCATAGTTAATGAGCAAGTATTTAGCATGTGTTCCTTCCACTTCACTGATTGGTTGAGAAAGGGTCAGCGTGGAAGATTTGGAATGATTTATTACCTGGGCTGTCACAGGCACCAATCTTTGAGGCGGGGCTACTAAACTGCAATATAGTCTGTACTAGGCAGAGGGTAGTTTATAACTAGACTATGCGCGCAGGGTAATATAATAATTTACAAAGTTACCTGTAAACTTTGAAATCTGCATGTCGCTTGGAAAGGAATTGTGGGTAATCATCAAGAGCTATTTTCCGTTTCAAGGTTGATGACTTTGATTTATGATTGGTTGTTTCTGCGTCAGACTCATCCTCCGACTCACTTGTAATTTCTTCATCAGATAAACTATAAATTGAAGAAAACAGAGGTTTTAACTATCTTAAAGCACTGTGTGTTAATTATCACAGAACATGCAATTTACTGCATGAATACAACATGATAATTACCTGGATTTTTATAGAATGAAGTCAATTTAAAATGCTATTGGGTATATCAGGGAATATCTCACAATTTTCATCCAAATCTGTGCCTTTATTTTTACAATTTAGAGTGAATCGCAGTTCAACTCTATGAGCATTGAGCAGAGAACAGTGCTTGTCGTTAAAACAATTATCCAATCAGTGCTGAGATAAAAATGAATGATATTCACCTTTGTTTTTTAGGTTTAGACTCTTTGCCTTGTGTCCCCAGAGCGATGTGCTTTGTCTCCTTGTATTGTAGCATCAGTGTGTTCTGTAACTGGACTAAGGCATCTAGTAACTTCTTAAGACCTTTCACGGCTGAAATGTATCAAATATTTCAATTGTTGCCAAGTGTAAATAATGAATGGCTGATTTTTTAACCTCCCACACAGTACATTTATTTTCACATTAAGAAATGTCATCAATGCAAAATCAACACTTAATTTGATATCAATGAGGGGTCATTATAAATAACATTGGTGTTTTAAAAAGTTAATGCTTTTGGCTGGTCTTGGGGCTGTTTGCAGTTTTTACTGTTAAATTCAACAGAATATGATACCACAATGCCAAGGGACCTTCCATATATCTTACTATATACTTTACTCCCAGGGGTGTTCACATTAGACAGGTTTTACTGCATATGTTTCAAATTCTCAAAAGCTTGTAACACTGGTAAGTTCAACAGAATATGATACCACAATGCCAAGGCACCTTCCATATATTTTAATATATACTTTACTCCAAGGGGTGTTCCCATTGACAGTTTTTACTGCATATGTTTCAAATTCTCAAAAGCTTGTAACACTGGTAAGTTCAACAGAATATGATACCACAATGCCAAGGCACCTTCCATATATTTTACTATATACTTTACTCCAAGGGGTGTTCCCATTGACAGTTTTTACTGCATATGTTTCAAATTCTCAAAAGCTTGTAACACTGGTAAGTTCAACAGAATATGATACCACAATGCCAAGGCACCTTCCATATATTTTACTATATACTTTACTCCAAGGGGTGTTCCCATTGACAGTTTTTACTGCATATGTTTCAAATTCTCAAAAGCTTGTAACACTGGTAAGTTCAACAGAATATGATACCACAATGCCAAGGCACCTTCCATATATTTTACTATATACTTTACTCCAAGGGGTGTTCCCATTGACAGTTTTTACTGCATATGTTTCAAATTCTCAAAAGCTTGTAACACTGGTAAGTTCAACAGAATATGATACCACAATGCCAAGGGACCTTCCATATATTTTACTATATACTTTACTTCCAGGGGTGTTCACATTAACAGGTTTTATTGCATATGTTTCAAATTCTCAAAAGATGGCAATACTGGTAAGCTAAACAGAATTTGAGCAACAATGCCAAGGTCACCATATTTTAATTCCCTTAAATTTTAAATTCCCTTTAATTTTTAATTCCCTTAAATTTTTAATTCCCTTTAATGTTTAATTCCCTTTAATTTTTTAATTCCCTTTAATTTTCAATTCCCTTTAATTTTCAATTCCCTTTAATTTTTAATTCCCTTTAATTTTCAATTCCCTTTAATTTTCAATTCCCTTTAATTTTTAATTCCCTTTAATTTTCAATTCACTTTAATTTTTAATTCCCTTTAATTCCTTTACCTTGTGTGGAGGCATCTTTTACATCATCCCCTCCTTCTTTTATGATCTCATCCAATGTATCACAAAGTGGCAGTTGATTGACAATCACCAGGTTTTTCTGGAGCTTTATCCTCGTCTCCAACAGCTGGTCCCAAACATTTAGCTGACATTTGGCCGCTTTACCTTTCGCTATCTCATCTTCGATATTTGATTTAGAGAATTTTTCAATATCATCATCATCTTCATCTGAAAATTGGGTAATGATATTGTGAATATTAATATCAATCTAATTAAGTGGCAGTTGAAACCTAATCCATTGAAATATTACGAGTTACACATAAATCATTTCATCATATTAACTATTTTACAATCAATCATTTCCAAAGGAAAAACCAAGAAGTTTACCCTTTGTATCATTTGGCTTGGTCATCTCTTCATCTTCTTCATCATCTTCCTCATCACTGTCGTCATCAGATACTCCACTCATGTCATCTTCATCTCCATACTGTCCAAAGTCACCATCAGCATCAAAGCTACAAAATATGCATGTTTAATATAATTTTATATAATCATATAGTCTAGCATTTAGTTAGTAGTGTAGTATTGTACATACTGTAGACAAGAGTTTACTTGTACAAGAACCACAACATTCTACTTGTATAGTAAGGTTGGGACTTGAATTGGATGGTTAGTACTCAAGAGTTTACTTGTACAAGAACCATGACATTCTACTTGTATAGTAAGGTTGGGACTTGGATGGTTAGTATTCAAGAGTTTACTTGTACAAGAACCATGACATTCTACTTGTATAGTAAGGTTGGGACTTGGATGGTTAGTATTCAAGAGTTTACTTGTACAAGAACCATGACATTCTACTTGTATAGTAAGGTTGGGACTTGGATGGTTAGTATTCAAGAGTTTACTTGTACAAGAACCATGACATTCTACTTGTATAGTAAGGTTGGGACTTGGATGGTTAGTATTCAAGAGTTTACTTGTACAAGAACCATGACATTCTACTTGTATAGTAAGGTTGGGACTTGGATGGTTAGTATTCAAGAGTTTACTTGTACAAGAACCATGACATTCTACTTGTATAGTAAGGTTGGGACTTGGATGGTTAGTATTCAAGAGTTTACTTGTACAAGAACCATGAAATTCTACTTGTATAGTAAGGTTGAGACTTGGATGATTAGTATTCAAGAGTTTACTTGTACAAGAACCATGAAATCCTACTTGAATAAGTGAGTAGGGTTATATTAGTTATTTCAAAAATGCATTTTTATAGAAATGTTAGTCAAACAACTATTTCATATGGCCCTTAATAGTTAGAAATATGTCTGAGAATAAATCTAATGAGAATGGGAAAGACCATGTGACATCATGATTGAATAGTGTGACTGACAACCTGGAAAGGCGGGTTTAAAAGTTTAAAACTTAATAATGGGTCCAGGAAACTAAGCATGTCATGGCTGTGATGCCATATATGCAATGTTGATGTAAGTGAGTCAGTTCGCTCCATAACTCAAGTGGAAGAGCATCTGGAATGCAATCGGAAGGTTGTGGGTTCGATTCCGACCAGGATGGAGTGACTTTTTCACATCAGCTCTCAGCATGGGATTTGATCCTACGTTTCAGATTAATTTCTACAGTATACACATATTTACCTTAGTTCTGTCTTAGAGTCAGTTGATGTTCTTTTCATCTGAGCCTTGAAATCATCAAGTTCTTCATCTTCTTCATCACCATCAGAATCATCCATATCAGAGGCCACCTTATCACTTTCTGCGCCCATACTTGCGATGTCATCATCATCATCTCTTGTAGAGCTGTCATCATCATCATTGTCAGATTCAAGTTCATCATCTTATAAAAGAATTAAGTTTGGATGGATGATTATTACATTATTCAACATTCAATGCTCGCCTCACATAGAAATCTCGGTGGGGCACAGCACCTCAAACACTCATTACACTGACAGTGTCTCATTATCAAATCAATATTCAAGAAACAAATTATTTAGCAGCATCAGTAAAAACTTGTGTCAATAGTATTTTAAGCTTGGAGGTTGATTAAATACAGTGAAACCTGTGAAGTGGAACATATCTAGAAGTGGAACACCTTTAGAAGTGGAAAACTTTTCAAAGTTCCAAGTCTAACTGACTTAATGTTAAATGAAGCTCTGTCAGTGGAAGACCTCACAAGTGGAACCATTTTTAGAGGTAGACTACAAGAAACAGGACTTGAAAAGACATCCTCCTAAGCAGGTGTCCAGAATCTGTACCTCCTTCTTCCCCCTGCTATAACCAATTTGGAAGCGCCCAATTTAACTGAATCACGTGATTTAATTATGCGCAATGACGTACACATGATTTCTGTCGCAGTGTTGCGACAGCCAATCAGATTGCGAGTTCTTAATCGGGGAAATGGTAACTGCTTATTGCAGGGGGTAAAAAGAAAGAATATATTATGGATTTTGAAGCCCTGAGATTGGAGGATGTGTATATCTAGATTTATTGCAGTTATTGAATTACCTGATATTTCACCAAAACCAGACTTTAATTTCTTGCGTGATATTTTCTTTCCTGAGTACTTCACGTCACCTTCAGATAATAACTGAATATTTTGTCGTCGCAAACTTGTTTGTTGAAGATCTTCCCCGTCGTCTTGGTGATAAGCTTCTGCATCATTGATTCTAACTGCGCTTGTTTCTAGACATAAAATAATTTAGAAATTAATAATAACATTCAAATATACAAGGTGTCAAATATGTCACGTCCCCCTTGCTACAGCTAAAACTTTAATAGATGGTACCTAGTGTGATATACCATTGGAAAGATCATCCAAAGTTATGTTAACTCACCAACTCTCAAGTATTTCAGATGAAATTCACCTATATTTTCATAATGTCCTATAGTTAGTATGTACCCTTTTTAAGCAGCATTTATTATGTCAAAATGAGAACGATATGACCTCAGAAATACGTCTAAGTTAACCTTTTTTGCATTCCACTTGTTTCAAAAAGGTTTTCACCACTTTCCTTACACCTCTTTTCCTACACATTTAACCCTATCCAGAAATTGGTATTATTCATTGCTATGGCAATTTGATATCATTCATAGAAAAAGATAAAATGAAATAAAAATAGTACCATGGGTACTGGGCTCACATGGTGTTGCTCAAACATTCAAAATGAATGATGGCTTAAATGGCAGAAAATAAAAAAAATGGATGTAATTTTTGCCGATTTTTTGTAACAAAATTATTTCATATAATTATTCTTTACAGTGACATGACTTTTTACAATGCAGGACACCTGAAATTATTTGTAAAGCTAGGAAATGGGCCACAAGTGAATTTCGCAAGACAAAAAGTGGCGACCTTTTTTGAAAATAGGCAAGCTTTTGAACCAGGAGTCATAGGGGAGTTTTCTACATTGATGTTGAACAAAAATAATTTAAAACGAGAATCCTATTGACAGAGGTTTTAAGGCAAATGGTCCAAAAGTGGATTTCGCGAGATAGATGGACAAATCAATGTTAACTAAAATGGCTGAAAATAAAAAAACTGATAAATTTTTTTGCCGATTTTTTATAACAAAATTATTTCATTAAACTACTCTTTACAGTAACATGGCATTTTTGTTTCAGACAATTTCCAAAAATTTCAAAGATTGTATCATTTAGAGCAATTTATTGGGCACATTTTCTGAAAATTCAAAAGATTCTGTTCATTGACCTTTCCTAAGCTCCTACTTTTAGCTTTTTTTCAGACACATTTTCAGAGGGCTGAAAAGGTTATAACCATTGTCACGGTCATATCGTGGTTTAACACTACCACTGTCATGACAGGCCTTGCAATATAATATAGCATTGTCAAGAATGTTTTGATAAAGTGTATAAAAAACAAGAAAATTCAGTGAAAAAAATCAGAAAATTTTCAGAAATTTTTTTCACTGAATTTTCTCATTTTTTATACATTTTACAAAACAAACCTTCTCACAAGTCTTTTCTAGGCACAGAAGTGCATTCTTTGTGCAAACTTGGAAGATGTAGACAATGTGGGGAAGGAGTGATTCATGTTTGAAAAATAACATGTGACTCAATTGAGGAATGCAGAAAATTTCCCAACATGCACCCTGTCCTTAAAGTCAGTAATGTTGGCTTATCGCATCCTACGACCCCTTTAGATTGTGGTCGTAGGCCCGTTTCATTTGTAAGCCTGTCTTTCTACAATGTCGGAGAATGAACTACGCATTGCGCTATTAAATGACCTACCTCGATACATTCCAGAGTATTTTAAAATTCTTTTTATGTTGTTAGATCGCCAATTGTATGGGTTTATCGTCAGAACGAAGAGATTTTAGTTTTTACATCGGAAATATCTCAGCAATTTTCAAAATGTCGGAAGGGGAATTCCCCAGGGATTTCCCTTATGACTGGTGCATGCCGGGAACTGAATGGAGGAATTTGACGGTTGAACCTACACGCAAATATTGCTATCAAAAACGAAAATATCTTCGTTCTGCCGATAAACCCATACAATTTGAGATTCAACTATATGAAAAGAATTCTAAAATACTCAGGAATGTATCGAGGTAGGTCATTTATGTGTACAATGCATAGTTCATTCTCCGACATTGTAGAAACACAGGCTTACTAATGAATCGGGCCTACGACCACAATCTAAAGGGGTCGTAGGATGCGATAAATGTTGGCTAGAGAAAAAGCATAAACAAAGATGATTTAGTAAATATCAAGCAAAGCCAATCTCTTCAAATTCTGATCATAATTATTTAGACCTAGACATCTATTCAAAAATAAAAAATTTCGGATGATACATAATTTCCAGATAATATTTTTGACAATAATTTATTTTATTTTTTTTTTTTATTTTTTATTTATTAAAATCATATAAACATATATACATATAAGTGATAATGACACCCTAGTGGGTGTATGTCTTATCACAAGCTAAAATATTTAAAAATGGCATATTGTTAGTTACATTTATTATTGATGTTACAAAGTGTCTCAAAGTATAAATTATGTAAGCCAAACTGGGAAACAAATAAAAATGAAAATGATGTACATTATAAAAAGTGTAATAAAACATTTTAATGATGTAGAATAGCTAAATGGAAAAAGGAAAAAGGTGCATCTGTTAAAAATTTGTACAGGGTACTAATCATAGAGACTAAATTACATGTCTTTTGAAGGCTCGCCATAACCATACAGAAATGAGGAACTTAATTTCCTGTTAGCTTACCTTCAGCAACATCATCTTCAGGATCTATTAGTTTAGGAGCAGTGTTTGTGAGTTGAGAAATCTGTTCAGCTAAACTTGCCATGCTGTTTCTTGTGGAGAACAGCTATATGATGCTAGCTCGCTATAGCGAAATTTTTAACTTCCGGTCGGTGTGAAAGAAATTATGGTCCCCCGGGAATGATGGTCCCCTTCTTAACGGCCCTTACTGGCCCTTATTGTGTATAAGATAATAAGAGAAAGAGGTCACCATATAAATCAATGGAAAGTAGGACCATAAATTGATAGGACCTACCCTTTTGCACCGGTGTAAAGGGTACTAGGAGGTCCTATCAAATTATGGTCCTACTCTCCATTGATTTACATGGTGACCTAAATCACGGACTTCTGCCAGATAAGCTCCTCTGTGCCATATATCCTTTGAGCCTACTACCAATAGGGGCTGGATCTGGCACCGGATCTGTGACCTAAATACAACTCTTCAAATCAAGAAATCTCCTATGGCAGCGTATACCGCTACACTAGCCGTATAGAATTTCCATATCATCAGTGATTAAGCCAGTTTGTTTGCCATCTGATACCTCTGCAGTAGGAGTCTTGGAAGAGTGTAGCTACTTAACATTGATAAGGCATAAACATGAATACTTAACTGTTAAAATGTCTAATGGATAAACATAGAAACGTCTTGTGTTAATTGAATGTAAAGCTGTGTATAATGCTACATTTTCTAGTCACTAGTACCCCACACAAGTTTTCGATAATAACTTTAACCCTTGATTTGAACACTCGAGATCTACTATTTGTTTTTGAATTTAGCACACATGAACTCGAGGCAATTTCCACATTGGAAATCTTTATTTTTATTTTACTTCAATAACAATAAAAAAAGCAACTGAACCAAGGATGTCATTAATCCTTTTTAACAAATATGATGTCATAAAATCAAAATTAAGAATTGTTTAAGTAAGTCTTTATGGTCTTCCCTCATTATCTTATCCACAATCAGGGCCAGTAAGGGCCGTTAAGAAAGGGGACCATCATCCCTGGGGCACCATCATTTCTTTCACACCGGAAAGGACAGGGGACCTGTTGTGCATTATTGGAAGTTTGGGTTTGCAGCTCCGGGGATTTTTTATGTTGCCCCTGAAACCAATCAAATGAAATGATCCCAAGACAGCCAACTTAATATGAAATAAACAATACTTTTCTTGGTTGAATCATGGTTGAATAAACAATAGGTAGCATGAGACACGGTCAACCCCCCCCCGTTCCAAAAATGGAATATATTAATATTTCATGTATATGACCCCATTACCCCCACAACTTCTTGTGCATTGAAATCTTGTAGTTGAAAATAAGCTGGAGTGGTGGTTATTTTAGACAAAATCCACTGGCTTGTGCAGTACTGACAACATTTTTCAACTACAAGATTTCAATACACAAGTAGTAGTGAGAGTGATTTGAAAAATCAACGGCCACATTTTATTGGGGTAGACCCCATCAGTAGTACAATGAGAAATGGTTATAATGGCCATCACGATTGAACCGCATCCCTTTCTTTTGCAAACGACAGAGGGTTTAATGAACCGGCAAGAAGTGTTCAAATGACTTTTTTTTCATTTCGTGAAATAAAGACAAAATACAAAACTCGAAACCCATAAGCAGACATATGAAACATAAAGTACTACGCACAGTTTATGTATATGATCCGATGTAAAATACCCTATTGTCTCAGAAAATAAATGATTATCGAGCAAATTCAAATTAATTATTTAAGATATTTAATTTTCGGGTGAGATACTGAAACATAAATAGAAATTCACAAAACCCTACTTTTTCAAATTAGCCCACCACCCTACCAATTAAAGGTGCAGGCGCCTTTACGATTTGGGGAAATAGTTTACAGTTAACACCGCGGTAGGTTAGTAAATTGGATTGATAATTAATACTGATATATTTTTTTCTAACTTTGTTAAAATAATACGCTTAAACGTTTTTTATAATTATGCAAGGTGGCAATTTCATATTTTTCAAAGAAAATGACTGACTACGCCCCTGCTATCCTCTGAGCATCGCTGCATAGGCAGGTCATATCTTTAAAGCTGACACTAATATGACAGTCTGATCACGATTTGGAACATCAGATCATAATTTGATTCATTTGATAATCGAGTTTATAGAAAAACATTATTGTTTATTATATTCAAATTGAATCAATTGAAGAAGAGTATGTTTATTTCAACTGAACATTTTCAAAAACAGTCGATCCCCACTTGAAAAATCTTGGCTACGGGCCTGTGTGTTTTATTTTAAGTTATAACAAATATCGTAGCCCTACATTAAATAAGATGGAAGACCCCCTAATGCATGTAATGTGAGTATGATCCACATTGTAATAAATAATGAAATGTAGCATAAATATCCACACACGAGTGCATCCCATCTCCACCTCAGCCCCCTCCCGCCACAACCACCCGCCAACCACCCGACCACCTCGGTACAGTGCCCGCTTGAGATACAGTGTATAGTTGATTTAGTGATTGAGTGCCAGAAATGGGGTCAGTTTCCGGCCATAATATATTGTTCATTAAAATATTGTAAAAATCTTCAGATTTCTGAAATAAAATTTCTGCTTTTTGGCCGGGTATGTTTAGAAAAAAGGCACGACAAGGAATGATGTGAGGCAAAAATATAGATAAAATTGACACAATATTTTGTTAAGATTACTCAAGTTGATAGTCAAGTTATTACAAAAATCAAATATAGCAAATATCGGCTAATTTTTCTGTACAAACAGACTGCATGCCACGGATGACACGAGGTGAAATCTGAGAAACTATCAAAACAAACAAAGTACCTGTAACAAAAATACAGATAAATAAACAAACAAATATCTGACACGACCCTTGAAAATTAGTATCAATCTGATATCTAAAAGCAGGATCTAATCGGGCGAGGTCTCTCCCCCTACACTTTATCCAAGTGTTGTAATTCTTGAGAAGTTTTGGCTGATAATAATTTCTTGTTGTCATACTTATTTAAAATACCCATAGGTTTAGATCTCAAGTAACATTTATGTCATGTGTTATTTTTCACTAAATATTGATGATACACATATATTATATGGGTTGATTTTGTGTCTGTGATGTTTACTTTGGACTCAAGAGATAAGATGATATTGGTTGGGAGATGATTGTCTTTCAGCCCGGCGATGCAATGACACTGTTACTGATAGAGTGATATGCCCAATTAATCACAGTGTCCAATTAACTTTTAATTTGTCCCCAAAGGGGAAGGCAGGTTATGCTTTATAAATGTTATAGTGTTTTTACAAAATTAAGTACTAAATAAAATTTGTTCTAACAAATATAAAAATTTAAGAGAGTCTAGAATTGGAAACAGTAACATAAACTCTAATTTCGCGCAATAAACGATAACGAGGTTGTTTGAAAGTCACGTGGAAAAGCCCGCTATCTGATTGGTCAATTTACACAGTCGCGGGGATTTCAACGTACAAACAGCTAAAAGTTTTTCTGAACAGAGAAGTGAGCCATTCGAGCGTTGAAAAGAAAAGGCTGAAAAGGACACGAAATAGGTTACTACTTGTGTTCTTATTGAACATAGTGGTACAATATACATGTGATTTTACTATTTTGTGGATTTTATATATTTTAGTCGAGTAGAACTCGTTGAATTCAGTTGTTAATTTCAAAAAATGTCGTTTGGATTCGGAGGCAATATGGCGCAAACTGGTTTGTCTATACACAATGATAACCTCGAAAATGCAGAACATAGGCGAGGAAAACGAGAAGATATGCCACCTGCATCAAAAAGAGCAGCCTTGGGAACTATTACAAATGCAGTAACTGGAAGAATTCAGCCTCAAAGACATGCAAAAGTGAGTGTTCTTTGTCAAAATTTTGTCGGCCATTTTGAAATTTAAATTCCGCTTCTGAAAGAATCTACAACAAATGTCCCAATTTATGTTGCATTATGGATTCGTATAAAGCAATCCTTTGAATTCCAATAACTTGCATGTGTCCTTTTCCAGACAACGCACGCTGGAGGGTTTGGGCTGCGAACTGGTGTAGAAAATGTACAGGCCAAACAGGCGGGAAAATTTATGATCCCTCAACAAACTTTGAACACCCAGACATTTCAAATCCATGTGGATGAACAACCTCAACAATCTTTTATACGTAAAGACAATTCAAGTTCAGATAATAGGTTACAACTTACATCTGCTATCACTGGTTTGGGGAAGGAATCACAATATGAATCAGTCCCAATTTGTCTGGATGAAAGTTCAGGTAAGAAAAGTTTCCAACTAACCTATCTATCTCTAAAAGCGAAGAACAAAGTCTCCCCAATGCAATTTATACTTGTCTTTGTATTCATTCTTCAAAGCAATTCAAATATTCAAAATGCTTCATACAGTTGGGGACATAAATAAATGACAGGTGGATTTGCTGAAGTGAGGATTTCCCATGTTAAAAATAAGAGAATTTACAAGAGGCCATAAATCAGTGGATGAGATTATACAAAATGTAAAATATACAAATTTTAAGGGATATGTATCTAGACAATATTGGAAATTATGGGCTTTCAGACCACCATAATTAGGAAATGGTGATCGAAAATCGACCTGTCATTTATTTTTGTCCCCAACTGTAGAGTACATGTACAAATCTTGGACCTTCTCTTCCAAAAGGGCAGTGAAAAATGTAGTACCCGACCAGTCATTTCCAGAGTAGGGCTATGGGTTGTGCGTTGAATATTTATTGACAAGTTGGGTCTATAACCCTTCAGTTGACTTGTGTCTTCATTATCCAGCGACCAATCTGCCTCTGCTCTCAACACTTCTTGGTGGAAGTGAAAGCACGATACTGACAACTGAAACTCTAAATACACATCGAATGTGTTTGAACCATATATTTGTCATGGTCTAAAGCGTTTGCAAGTTGTTGACAAATTGACAGCTTTATATCCTCAATTTTTTTTTTTACATGACATCTTTGGACAACATGAATAAATATTTTATCTTTTTCAGATTCTCCTATGTGCCTTGATACTTCAATAGAATACACACAGCCAAGACATACTGCACAAAACAAAGAAGATAGCCAAGAAATCATACTAAATGTACCTGAATATTCAACAGATATCTACTCATACCTCAGAGATTTAGAGGTAAATTGAAAAATAATTTTTATTTGTCGATGATATTATTGTAGAGGAATACAGTATTTTATCGAGGAGTGGAAAATATTGGGCAATTAGAAAACAATGTTTTCTTTCTCCCTTTGATGTCCATGGTATTGCTTTCATTTTATTTTGGTTCAAAGTGTCAAGATTCAAGTAAAAAATTTCAAATCACACAATGTGTCCAATTCAAAATCTCAACTGTGAACATTGCTCTTGCTTGTATGTATTCTTTATTTTTATTGACCATGAATGTTTCATTGACAGTATTGGTCAATTTTGGCTAGTGGACTTTGTTCATTGTCTACGATAAAACTTTGACAATCGTGGCCATGGGGTATATTTGTAAAAATGGGTTATGAGGTTCCTCGAGAGTTATCCCGTTAATTTATTTAAGCTGCTGAGAAAATATCAGTATAAGAAATGATAGCGGATTAAAGTGTGTTATTAAAATTGTAGAAAATAAGAATATGGGATTATAATTTTCCCTTGAAGTTAAAACGAATCAATATTTTTATTGAAAATTTTAAACAGGAAATTCACCAATCAAGATAAGCATCTGATTCAGTGGTTCAAATCTTAATTGTTGACCATTCATAAGAATATAATATGGTATAATACTGGAACACTAATATTGATTACACAAATATTAACATAGGCTCTTTGAATCAAGGAAAAGCTTTACATAAGTTGTCCTGAAGCCAATTAACACATCTGTGTAACTCTGCTAGCTAAATAATTTAGTGTTAATTGGCCTTATATTTAAGATAAGACTCTCATACAAACTGAATGTAGAATCAACAGGCAGTTTGCTTTATATTACCTCGATTTAATATTTATCAATTATGAAAATTGCATGATATTAATATTTAATTGCAATTTGCTTTCGGATATCTTTTGATGTTTTTTGACGCTAAGAGATAGTAACTTGAATGGTTGCAAATTCTTCAAATTTCTTATGATCTTATTTCTAATAAAATGGCAGGGGGGGGGGGTCTAAAGATGTCATTCTTAAACCTCTGTAATTTAACTTTGTGAGGGAAAGGAACTTTTAGGGCTGAATATTATATTTTGTATTGCTCTTTTTCCAGTTAAAACACCGGCCAAAGCCAAACTATATGAAAAAACAACCAGATATCACTAACAGTATGCGCACTATATTGGTCGACTGGCTGGTGGAGGTTTCCGAAGAGTACAAACTACATAGAGAGACATTGTTCCTAGCAGTCAACTATATCGACCGATTTCTGTCTCAGATGTCTGTCCTGAGGGGGAAACTCCAATTGGTTGGTGCCGCAAGCATGTTCCTTGCTGCGTAAGTATTTTATTTTTGAAGCAGAATATAAAAAATATTGCCGAACTTTTTAGGGACTTTTCTACTTTTCCATGTTAAAATTATGATTTCCATTAATTTTGCCTGTTTTAATTTAACTAGCCTGTTGTGAGAAATTCTAGTGAAATCCCTGTTATAGTATTACAACAAATATGTTTGTATATTTAGTGAGTTTGGAAATTGTGAAGCCACTTATTACCATATCATGCTGTTAATTTAGTCAAGTACAAAGAAAACTAATGCCATTTGTCAGCCTGTATTAAAAGCTATCACACTGACAGGAACAATGAATTGTGCCATCACCCCATGTGGTTATTAAGCCAATATTCCAAAGTGTGTGTTCTGTGTATCATGTCAAATTAATTATTAATTAACTAATGGAGCAATTCAAAATTCTCTGACTTTATTTGTGTGCTCTATTAAATCAAGATAAAATTTATTTTCAATTGTGGGACTTAAGAATTACTTTATCAATATATCCATTTGATCTTGTATTTGTATCAGTAGTTAAAATAAGTTAATCGAGGAAATTAAATGTTTATTTGTTTTCTCAGGAAATACGAAGAGATCTACCCTCCAGAGGTTGGAGAGTTTGTCTACATCACCGACGACACCTACACCAAGAAACAAGTCCTGCGTATGGAGCATCTCATCTTGAAAGTACTTTCCTTCGATGTTGCCGTCCCAACCGTGAATATCTTTATTGAGAGATTTGTCAAAGAAATGAACTGTGATGATAAAGTTGCAGCCCTAGCAATGGTATGTATCTAGTTATGTCACCACATGGGGTCACATTGTATTGGTTTCCAATTTTTTCTGGACGGTGTTCAGTGTTTGGCATCTGTAACAAATCAAATGTGGTGATAATTTGCATGTTAATGTCTTGTATTTCATATAACATGTTTCATACACCTGCCTTGTGAACTGTTTTGCTGGAAGGCAATTCTCAAAAACATCAACATTTAATTTCTAATTTACCTTGTTTATTCAACGAATACAACAATGATTGCTTTCAAAATAATAACACAAAGTTAATGATACACCCCAGACCCGTGTTTTCATACTTTATTTAGTGTGAATAGACATTCCCCTTGACGTCTTACAAGAACCCTGATAAACCAATCAATTATGGGCAAGTCCTATAGTTTTCCATTATATGATAATTTTATTTTTCATTTCAGATGTTGGCTGAGTTGACTTTGGTTGAAGGGGAGACTTATCTAGTTTATCCTCAAAGTGTAATAGCAGCAAGTTGCGTACTCCTCGCCAATAAACATTTAATACCTGACACAAATCCAGTAAGTATTGCATTTGTATTTTTTTTCAGGTGGTGTCCAATTGATACATGTGTGATAAACTAATCAATGTTTTAAGATGAAATATCATCAGTTTTTTCCACAACTCTTGACATTAAGGTGCCATCTTTTACATTTGTTATGGGGTAATTTGTACTCCTCTTAAAACTAGCCACAAATGTGCAAGATCCCATTACCATTTAAAATTGTTGTGGAGTTATTTAGATCATCAATGAAATAATTTTTACTCTTCCATCTCTACTGATCTTTTTGACATTTAGCCCAGATTGAAGGATACTAAATCTGGGTATCTTGGTCAGTGCTAATGTCTTCTCCTGTGTACAAAGATTTTAAGTGTCCTATATAATTGATATCAATTACTCTTTTCAGATGAGCCAAGTGTACCAAGTGACTGGGTACAAAATGCCAGAGCTCTCTGCCTGTTTGAATGACCTGTGCAAGACATACTCACAGTGCATCAGTCATCCTCAACAAGCAGTCGTGGAGAAATACAAATCTAATAAGTAAGTCAACAGCAATTTCCAGTTTAACTAACATTCTAGAACTTGGGGAAATATACTTGACTTTTCCATTTTAACAAAGTTTAAATGAATAAAGGAACAGTTTTTATAAGTACATGTCTGATAAGTAAGTGAATGGCAATGTTCAGATTGTAATATAGAAAGGATGCGCAAAACCTTTTAAGGTCCAGGGTCCTTGGCATTTTAACATTTTCTATCAAGAACTTTGGGAAAATACGAACTATTTCATTTAAATGGAGTCTTAAGAAAAATCCAGGTTCTGTAAAGCATAGTTCAAAAAGTTGATTAACAGAACATCTGACCTTAAGTATAGTATTTTCATGTCTACTAAGCAAATAAGACATGAAATTAAACAAATTAACGACCAATAAGTATCTCTATTTTTTGCTCATATACCTTTCTTGTAACGATAAAATTTATTTTCAGGTATCATGCAGTGTCAACTATACCACCCTGCTCTGTTTGAATGAACGCTCATCGCATCATCATCAACTCATTTGTTACACATGACTGCCATTCTCATACAGAGATACCATCACAACGAACTACATCAACATAAACAATGCAACAACCATCAGCTCTGCGCAATTTGTGGCTCAAGATGAACTGTTGCTCTTAGTACTAACTGTGATATAGGATGATGGGACGGTACCTCTTGTGGTAAAAATCAAAACTGAAATTTCTTGGGCGATTTTAGCTTCGATTTTTACCCAGACTCAATCCATCCGAGATGTACAAAATTCTGCCTATATTACTGTTATACAGTTATTTTTATACATTTATAAACCAACACTCCGGTGATTCAATTTAGTCAAGATGCTGAAATCTTGATTATATTTAGTCTCATCTGGGTGACAACCAGCACACAACACTGCCATTTAGTGTGTTGCTACTAATTAGCATTTTCAATAGTTCCAAATGCTGTTTTTAGTGAACTATCAAGTTACATTGTAGAAAACTAGTAGCGAGTATTATTTTACAAACGAGCATGTACATTTTAAAAAATCACTGATACACAACACAGAAAACTTCAAATGGCTTCAAAAATATGATTTTTAATTTTAGTAGTTTGAGATGATTAAATATTTGTATTTTATTTATGAACTGCCCATTTGATTATGCATGAATTTGTATTTTAGATATTTAATATATATTTTATGTGGTTTATATAGTATAAAATAGAATGACCACAATGTTTGTATGATTTAAGTTTATCAATTGTTTTAAAGTAATCTTAGCATGTTTTTTAAACTTTTAGATATCTGGTAATATGTCACTTGACAGTACTTTATGTACCATATGGATTGAAAAACGTGCTATTCAAAAACAGTTTTTATGGAATTTTCAAAAATACATTTAAAACTGGTTTTGAATAGCTTGTTTCTGGCTGGCTGGGGTTAATGCAAAAACTGTTTTATTAGGCTACTTGGTAAACTTTTTCTTGGTGTAGACTTGTACTAAATTTGGAAGATGTCTACCAGATTGTCTCAGAAATCCATTTTTTCACTTTTTGAATTTACCCCAGCTTGGATGGAATTTGTGAAAAGAATGGACAAAAATAGAAAGTGTTGTATTCGGAGTTTCTGAACCCTTTGTCGAGACCTTGTTCAAGGAAAACTTGGTCATATTAAATATTATAATTTCTGTATTTTTGAGCATTTTGGGTTAAACATAATAAAATTTTAAATGGAAAATTTAGTGCAGAATTTTATACAGTTGAAATAACATGTCAATCAACCAATCAATTAACTCTCTTGCTGAAAGATAATTCAACAAATAGAAATTTTTGAAACAAAACTATGCCTTGATTTATGAAACTTTAAAACTTTGTTAGACGTGAATCATGTACCAAGAGTTGACAAAACTATTGTATAGTTTGTCACTTAATCAGGTTTGTACACTTATTTTGTAAAAATCAAAACATTATGCAGAACCTACCATTGTTATGCAGAGGGGAATATCCCAGAATTCATAGATTAACCTATATCCATCTAATAATGAACTTCTATAGGTTCATCTTTACATCTAGAAATTCTGGGATATGTCGTCCTCTTTTGTCATAATATAATCGTGGGTGTTCCTGGATGTTTTCAGTGTCTGCATAATTAGGCTGTAGTTTAGTATTAGTGTACAGTTAGGATTTACATGTATAGGGGAAAACAATGTTATGTACATAAAGCATACATTACACAAATGCTTGTACAGTAAACACATCACATTACACAACACACTCACATTTTCTTAGTGGGGGGGGGGGGTCATGGGGAATTCTGCATATAATCCACATGTCAGAACTTGTGGGGAATTCTGCATATAATCCACATGTCAGAACTTGTGGGGAATTCTGCATATAATCCACATGTCAAAACTTGTGGGGAATTCTGCATGTCAAAAAATTGTTAGATTTAAATCTGCATTTTCTGAGGGGGAGTCACATGAGTTTCATCATATCACGTGTCAAAAAATTGTTATATTTCAAAACTTTTCGCTGGAATTTTGAACTTGTCAAAAAATAACCAACAAGTACGCTCATACACACAATTTGGTGCAATCTGTTTTCCAAACAATGTTATGTACAGTACTAAAGAACTTACTAAATAAATGAATGAAGAAATATTAGAATTTAGTTTATTATTTATTTATGCAAAACCCATTTCAAGTTGCCAAATCGACTAAAGATCTCTAAAGAATCCTTAGAATGAGTGATCTTGAGGGTTTACAATAGAAACTTGAGAAGTTCTCGTTGATCTTTTTTCTCTTCCTGTTATCCCAAACTTTTTAATATGTTCTCCACCTGTAACTTTAACATCCACATAATGTTGCATAATTTTGTGTTGTGGGGCAACTCTACAATAAATCAGATGACTAGCTCGACTAGTAGTTTAGGCCTTAAATGCCGGTCAGCTGGTCATTGCCAGGTTACTTTTGATACGGACCAGTTGATTTTTCCCTAGGTATTGAAAAATAATATTGCAACAGGGCCTACACTGTCAACTAGTTGCACTTTTATGCATACAAATTCATACTCTTGAAAGTAGGGGGAGAACATATTTATTTCACACCCTGTACATGTAAAGCCATGTTCTACCTGTCAATGCCCACCTTGATTCAAATTGCCATTGTCTACCTATTGTTACGCGGTAAACACAATACAAAAATATGTCCTATTCTGCAGCGAATACTAGTATGGCATATTCACTTGCGGTGTATGACAGATTCACCTGCGGTATATGGCATACACACTAACCAATGAGAATGATACGGAAGTACGCAATTGTAAAAGTAACAAGTAAAACGTTATAAATTATTATAATGATTACTGAATCAACAGTACTGTGTATCGAATATATTGACTTAGCAGAAGTATCAGTCACCAATCTTGCGTAATAAACTTACTCAATCAATCCAGGATTCATATATTAGTACTCGACGCACTAACTATATATTGGTAATCCAGCGTAGTTTTACATTTAGAGTCGATTCTCGCAACCAATCAAATCAAGGCTTTCTGTATCACGTTTTCACCTGCGGTATATGTCATATTCACCTGCAGTATATGGCATTTTCTGCAAGTGAGTATGACACATTCCGCAGTCGAGTATCGGGTATTCACTGAAATCAATGTATCGCATATTCACTGCGGAATATCGCATACTCACCTGCGGAATATGCCATATACCGCAGGTGAGTATGGCATATTCACCCGTATCACAAATACCGCGCAACCATGAATGTATGCCATATACCGCGTAACACCTATAACTATCCACCCTAATTTTTATTTGTAAATGCCCACCTAATTGTCATGCTCTACCTGAAATGTCTACCTTAATTGCAAGGTTTTACATGTGAATGCTCATGAGACACATTCACAGTGCATAGTAAAACTTGTCTAATCCAGTAATCTGAATGCCTTTTGGACTGGCCAAAGATGTTTATTAAAAGCGTTACATTAGTTGCCATGGATACAACCATGGGCTTTCAACAGACCATGATACAATACAACATGACAAAAATGTCATATTATTTGGTTTTCATGACAATGTTAAAAAGTAAGTCATACATGAACTTTTGGTCTGATCAGAAGTACAGTAAAATAATGGTGTAGTTTTCAGTTTTCTACATTCTCATCTGCATATAAGATGCAGCCTAATTTTCGTGACTAAGCTAACACCGTCATTATCTCATTCAGAGAAATGATTAACTGCAGCCAGTAGAAAAGTACAACCGTGGTAATGTTACTAGATTTTATCAATAGAATACACGTTTAATACATCTAGTATGTGCCAAATCTCTTCCAAAGTGGCTTAGTTAGTCTAAACCGATGTTGAGGTAGATTACTAAGAAGTGGCCCATAGTAATTAAAGATCGGTTCATTGACTTTTCATTTTCACTTGTCTGCAGTTAATTAGGTGACACGAAAGGGCTAAACGGCTTGCCCCAAGGTGCAACCGTCAAAAATATGAGTTTGAAAAAAATCATGTTTTTCAAATAATAGCAGTGAGTATATGAAATATGAGGCATATTTGATATTGATATGTATGATAGTCTATTTGGGTGTGGTCATTTTTATTAAAAACAATAATGGTGAAGAATTATACATTACTGACCTTGAAATGCCATTTTAATTCAAAAGTCACTGTTGCTAATGATAATATTCCTATTTTACATATTCAATGTTTTCTAAATGTTTCAATTACCATTATGTTAGTTTTTGGCAAAGTAAATAATTATAGGGGTCACACAAGGATCCACTTTATTTAGAACTTTTTCATATTTAGTGATGATTTCAAAAAATACCAAGTTTAACACAATTTTGTTTGTTAAATATTAAATAAAACGGAGTGGCTCCAGGACCGACAATTGTCGGTACTGGAGACTGTCTAGGGGTATTTGCTTGGGTACCGACAATTGTCGGCACTCTATCGTCACTCCAGATAGAGAACCGACAATTGTCGGTACGCAAGTGGCTGCTACGTGTTTTTGCTAGAGAGCCGACAATTTCATAAATAAATCCACTACTTTTACTTTTGGAAATAACCTCATCACTGGTAGCCTGGTGGTTAGCGAGCAAGACTCGAACACTTTTTTTTTTTTTTTTTTTTTTTTTTTTTTATTGCATCTTTCTTACACAAAACATTATACATAATATACATACAGATCAAATCCATATACATTGAATATTCAATAATATTATTACATATTTATATTTAACAATTATATGTTTTAAGCTTTTCAGACCATCTCCATTCAGAGTATTTAATTTAACTTAATTTAAAAGGGTACCATTTGAAAATACAATACATGCAATACGATTATCTTTCAATCGTATTGTGCTGACAATATTTTAATATAAAAGGGTATAAAGTAAAACAAAAAATTCAATGCTGTTGGTTTAATCTATCTATAACCCATCTCCAAGTCTCGCCGAAACTTTCCAGTGTGCCATTTAAGTTTGCAATATTTCGTTCGTCATTGATTTTGTATTTTAGGATTTCTTTTATTTGCATAAATGTTATTTTAGTATTAACAAGTCTTGATTTATGTATTAAGCTTTTTATATACAATATGCAAAAATTAATTGCTTTTGAAGTGTGGTCGCGTTCTTGATCTAATTTCCCGACAATTATGTCTTTAATTGTAAGATCAATATTGAAAATTTTTTTAAAGTCATCCCAAATCTTGGAAGAGTTTGGGCACTCTATGAAGAAGTGTATCGTATCATCTATTTTATCGTTTTTACAAAAGTCGCATAAATTTGAATTTTTTATTTTCTTTCGAGTTAAAAATTGGTTATTTGGTGTAACGTTTAAAACAAGTTTGTATTGAAGGCATTGTATTCTCGGTTCTCGAACCGTCTTAAAAGGTAATGTAAAAATGTGTTTCCAATCTTCTTCTGAAAAGTTGAATTTTGAATTTAGATATTTTTTCCCGTTGGGTTCTTTAAATAAATTATCTACGAGAATCCAATATATGGTTTTAGTTTTTATGGATTTGACGTTTATTGTCGTGTTTTTGATTTGGAGTTCTTCGTCTTTAAGTGCCTTGTTGCTAGATTGTTTTTAATATGTTGTTTCCAGGAGTGTGGAATTGCATGAATTAAGCCATAGAAAGTAACGAAAGGTGTATTAATATTATATTTTAAAGAGAAATCTTCGAAACCTAAGAATTCATTATTGTTAACGAGATCTTTTATTTGAAGGATTCCTTTACTTATCCAGCTTGCATAATTTAGGGTTTTGTCATTAATTTTTATGAACTCATTATTCCAGATATACTCTTTTAAAGCAAGTTCTTTATTATAGGGCTCTTTATTATGTAATAATTTCCAGGTTTCCATGATATTATAGTAGAAAGGGGGTAACCTGGCCAACTTGTCATCGGGAAATTTTGAATGAAATATGGTCTCAGAGTCTAGATTAGGAAAAAAGCTGTAGAAATATTGCTTCCATTTGCTGGGCTTTTTCTGGTATAATCTTTTTACCCATTGTATTTGTAAAGCTTTTATTTGCGTTTCAAAATGTAAGCTCTTGATTCCCCCTTTTTCAATTTTTCCTATGGTTGTTAAGTTACTTATTAATGGAGGTTTTCTGTTCCATAAAAAGTTATTAATGAGATTTTGAACATTATTAATGATGTGTTTTGGTACAAGTATGGTTGATCCCTAGAGCTTTGATCAACACGTTTTTTCCTATTAAGCTAAGGTTCCTCCATTCCCATATTTTAAATAAGTTTTCTATAGATTTAATCTTAGGAGAGAAGTTAAGGTCATTCCGTTCGTTTATATTTTGACTAAACCATACTCCGAGGGTGTAAAAATTTTCATTATTGATTTTAATTTTTGAGACAAGACTTTTTGGTGCAATTTGTGGGGGTGATGTTTTAAAGAGACCTAACCATCTTCCTTCTGTTTTCTGAAGGTTGGGCTTGAGGCCAGAAATTTCAGAGAATCTTTTTAGAGTCTGAAGGGCATTTTCAGTTGATGCAATTGAATCTAGGAAAAAAGTTGTATCGTCCGCAAACATTGAAAGTTTAATCTCAGTATTATTCAAAATAATGCCTTGGATATTTATATTTTGTCTAATAGATAAAGCTAGTATTTCCGCCACTATTATGAAAAGGTATGCCGATAGGGGGCATCCTTGTCGGACTCCCCTAGAAGGTGAAAACATAGTCGATTGGTATCCGTTGTTGGATATACACGTTTGAGCATTTTTGTAAAAAGTTTTTACCCATTTGATCAATGTATTACCAAAATTGAATAAATTAAGCGCTTTCTCGATGAAATTCCAGTTGACAGAATCGAAGGCTTTCTCAAAATCAATTTGTAGGAGTATCCCGGGGATGTTACCTTGGTCTGTGTATTCTAAAATATCTTCTATAATTCTAATGTTTTCCCCTATGTATCGATCTGTTACATATGCGGATTGGTCGGTATTTATTATGGATGTTAAGGTTTTCCGTATTCTGTTAGCAATTGATTTGGTGCCTATTTTATAGTCGGTGTTTAAAAGGGTAATTGGTCTCCAATTTTTGAGGAATAATCTAATTTTATCTTTTTTTGGAATTAAGGTAACGACTCCTTGTTTTTGTGAGATAGAGAGTTCTCCAGACTCAAAGCCATAATTCAAACTATCGACAACTAGATCTTTAATGTTAATCCAGAAAAACTTGTAGAAGTTAGTTGTGAAACCATCAGTACCAGGAGACTTATCATTTGGCATATTTTTGAGAGATTGAGCACATTCTTCAATCGTTAACAAGCCCTCGCAAGACACCTTTTCATCTTCAGTTAACTTTGGAATATTCAATTGTTCAACAAAAATATCTATGTTTGGCGGTAGGTCTTCATTATTTAACCTTTCGGTGTACAAATTTTCGTAATATCTTTTTTGTTCATTTAAGATTTCTTTAGGGTCGTTTATGATTGTACCATTTTCAGTTTGTAGTTTTTGAATGGTTTTATTGATGTAGTTGCGGTGTTCTAAAGTAAGGAAAAATTTGCTGTTCTTTTCGCCGTTTTCATACCATTTAGTTTTTGATCGGACTATGGAGGCTAAGGTTTCATTTTTGTTTAGGTTCTCGATTTCCAATTTTGTATTAAAATATTCATTTTGTAGTGCTTCCGTTACATCATCTTGATTTATCTTGGTTTCTAGAATGGATAATTTGGATTTCAATTCAGTATTAGTTTTTTTACGCATTTTCGATTTGTAAATAGAATGTGAAATTGTGCTCGAACGTATATCTAATTTAACCATTTCCCAAAGTAAGCCTTTATTATCCAGGTAACCATGCTTTAATTTTGATTCTGCTATACAATCTCGAATTTTAGCCGCGAATTCAGATTCATTTAGCAAGTTGTTATTAAATTTCCACAGACCCTTTCCTCGTTCTTTATTAACTTCGCCTAGTTGTAATTTTAAAATGCTATGATCTGATAAGAGTCCAGGTAAGATCTTAATATCATCAAATTGGTTGAGCAAGTGAGTCGAAATAAGAAAATAATCGAGTCTCGATTGCCTAAAGGGATGTTTTTGCCTCCAAGTGTAACGTTTTATATCGGGGTATGCTGTTCGAAACGTGTCAGTTAAGTCAAATGTATCCATAAAAGTTTCAATTCTCTTGGCATATGAAGTTAACTTATCATTCCCCCCTCCCATTTTATCTAAGCGTGGATTAAGTATTACATTAAAGTCGCCACCTAAAATGATATTTTCGGCATTCATATTCAAAATGTGTTTCTCAATTTCATCAATTAACAGTTTTTGCTGCTTTTCATGATTTTGTGTTGGAGCGTATAAATTAATTAGTAATACTCTTTGTTCATCAAGAGAAATGTCCAAAATAATGTATCTTCCGTTTTTATCTTGCATTTTATCGTGTATTTTATAGTTTAGAGACTTATCTAAGAGTATTGCAACGCCTCTGCTATCATTTGTACCGTGCGAGAAAATTATATCATTACCCCAATTATTTTTCCATATATCCAAATCATTTTCGTTTGAATGAGTTTCTTGAAGCATCACAATCGCTGGCGTCATATTTGAAAGGTGATGGAAGATACGTTGTCTTTTTGAATAATCTCTAATACCTCTTACATTATAGGAGATGATACTTAAGTTATTCATTTTGGGACGTATTTAACTGAATTAGAAAAGTGAAGTGTGTTATTATAAATTAAGGTGAATTGTGGATTTGGTATGAAGGGAGCATGTATATATATTATGTAAATGCTATCTAGTTCAGATGGGAGCATAGTGTGTATTGGCTGAAAAGATTTTCGGTTTCCGCCTGAAGATGAGGTATTTAAATGTCAAAGTCTGATTTTCAACAACAAAGAACAATGAAAATAAAGTAACATAACAAACAGAGAGCCGTGCCTTATAAGACACTGAATGGTATATCGACACTTTACATGTGTCTTTAATACAAATACAACTCTACAAGCAAAGAAACATCGTTAAAATCGATCTGGTTACAATGTATGGTTAAATGGATGATTAGGATAGAAGTATTCATGCAAAAACCTGCTATTAACAATATGATACATCTTATAACAATTGTATATAGGTCGAATACATGTAAATTACTTCAGGTTTTACACAGGACATGCCTATATCTCTTCAGACTATAAAGATATATGGCTATTAAAAAATAAAAGTTTTATGACACAAGAGTACCCCCGATAATTTTCAACTTGTTCATATACATATACTTCATGCAATGCGTGGAGCCTATCACTACACGAAAAAAAACTACATCTTATCATTTGCAACTCGTCTAAAACCATTTAAACAAATGCCAATATGCAACTCTGCATGATAACAATATATACAATTTGCATTTTAATTAGTGGTGCATTGGTGTATAGATTGCATGTTTTTTACAAATTGCCATACCGCAAACCTGAAGTTGATGTTTTTAAAATCATTCTTATACATAGATATACACTGTATGATTACCATGTTACCCACACAACGCATGATTACATTTATGATTTGCAATTCAATAAGGTACATTGGCATATAAAATACATGACATAAAACGGAGATGGCATTTTATTGCGCCAATATTTCAAACTCCTTGATATACGTAGATATATACGCTATATGGTTACCATATTACCATTATAAGGCATAATTACATAATTTGCATTTCTAGGAGGGGCATTGACATATGGAATGCTTGGCTTTAACGGAGGTGACTTTTTAACACGAGAGAATACATGACAATGTGTCAAAATTATTGATATACGTTGACATATGCCTTGTTACCATTTTACCATTGTAACACACGATAATGCTTCACACTCATTCATACATGTATACATATATGCTGCATGGTTACCATGTTACCGTTAGAAAAACAAGATTACATTTATAATTTGCAGTCCCATGAGGTGCATTGACATATAAGATGCATGGTATTATCAGAGATGATATATTTAATACTAGAGTACACATGATAATGTTTCACACTCACTCATACATATACGCCGCATGGTTACCATGTTACCATTATAAAATAAGATTACATTTGTAATTTGCAATACTATAAGGTGCATTGACATATAAAGTGCATGCCATTATCAGAGATGATATATTTAATACGAAAGTACACATTATAATGTTTCACACTCATTCATACAAGTATAAATATACGCTGCATGGTTACCACATTACCATTATAAAGCAAGATTACGTTTATAATTTGCAATTCAATAAGGTGCATTGACAAATAAAGTGCATGACATTAATGGTCTTATGTTTATCATGTTACACTAATGATGCAAGGTTACATTTATAATTTGCAATTCTATAAAGGAGCATTGACATATACATTGCAATTCTATAAAGGAGCATGGACATATACATTGCAATTCTATAAAGGAGCACTGACATATACATTGCAATTCTATAAAGGAGCATTTACATATACATTGCAATTCTATAAAGGAGCATTGACATATACATTGCAATTCTATAAAGGAGCATTGACATATACATTGCAATTCCATAAAGGAGCATTGACATATACATTGCAATTCTATAAAGGAGCATTGACATGTACATTGCAATTCTATAAAGGAGCACTGACATATACATTGCAATTCTATAAAGGAGCGTTGACATATACATTGCAATTCTATAAAGGAGCATTGACATATACATTGCAATTCTATAAAGGAGCATTGACATATAAATTGCAATTCTATAAAGGGGCATTGACATATACATTGCAATTCTATAAAGGAGCATTGACATATATATTGCAATTCTATAAAGGAGCATTGACATATACATTGCAGTTCTATAAAGGAGCATTGACATATACATTGCAATTCTAGAAAGGAGCATTGACATATACATTGCAATTCTAGAAAGGAGCATTGACATATACATTGCAGTTCTATAAAGGAGCATTGACATATACATTGCAATTCTATAAAGGAGCATTATTGACATATACATTGCAATTCTATAAAGGAGCATTGACATATACATTGCAATTCTACAAAGGAGCATTGACATATACATAGCAATTCTATAAAGGAACATTGACATATACATTGCAATTCTATAAAAGAGTATTGACATATAAATTGCAATTCTATAAAGGAGCATTGACATATACATTGCAATTCTATAAAAGAGTATTGACATATACATTGCAATTCCATAAAGGAGTATTGACATATACATTGCAATTCTATAAAGGAGCATCCCAGCAAACAGTGACGTCCATGTAACGTCACTCATATGTGGTATATAAGTTCACTGAAGACGTTGTATATTTCCGTTATATAAACGTCAAAGCAACGTAAAATTGTGACATTCAGCAAAACGTCGGTGGATGGTTAAAAAATGACGTTGTAGTAATGTGTTAGTAAAGTTCGAAATTTGTGCTGGTGTGAAAAACGTAACAATGACGTTGAATTTTTACCAGTTTGGTTCATTTGCAACGTAATATAAACGGTAAAATTTAACGTTGTCGTAACGTTTTTTAAATGTGTAAAATATTTGTAAGTGCAGGAAACATTACAAAGACGTTGCAGTTCTCACCAAATTGTTTCATTTGCTACGTAATATAAACGGTAAAATTTGACGTTGTCGTAACGTGTTTTAAATGTGAAAGATATTTGTAAGTGTAGAAAACGTTACAAAGACGTTGTGTTCTCACTAAATTTGGTACATTTGCTACGTAGTGTAAACGGTAAAATTTGACGTTGTCGTAACGTGTTTTAAACGTGAAAGATATTTGTAAGTGTAGAAAACGTTACAAAGACGTTGCACTTCTCATCAAATTGTTTCATTTGCTACGTAATATAAACGGTAAAATTTGATGTTGTCGTAACGTGTTCTAAATGTGAAAGATATTTGTAAGTGTAAAAAACGTTACAAAGACGTTGTGTTCTCACCAAATTTGGTACATTTGCTACGTAATGTAAACGGTAAAATTTGACGTTGTCGTAACGTGTTTTAAATGTGAAAGATATTTGTAAGTGTAGAAAACGTTACAAAGACGTTGCACTTCTCACCAAATTGTTTCATTTGCTACGTAATATAAACGGTAAATTTGACGTTGTCGTAACGTGTTTTAAATGTGAAAGATATTTGTAAGTGTAGAAAACGTTACAAAGACGTTGTGTTCTCACCAAATTTGGTACATTTGCTACGTAATGTAAACGGTAAAATTTGACGTTGTCGTAACGTGTTTTAAACGTGAAAGATATTTGTAAGTGTAGAAAACGTTACAAAGACGTTGCACTTCTCACCAAATTGTTTCATTTGCTACGTAATATAAACGGTAAAATTTGATGTTGTCGTAACGTGTTCTAAATGTGAAAGATATTTGTAAGTGTAAAAAACGTTACAAAGACGTTGTGTTCTCACCAAATTTGGTACATTTGATACGTAATGTAAACGGTAAAATTTGACGTTGTCGTAACGTGTTTTAAATGTGAAAGATATTTGTAAGTGTAGAAAACGTTACAAAGACGTTGCACTTCTCACCAAATTGTTTCATTTGCTACGTAATATAAACGGTAAAATTTGATGTTGTCGTAACGTGTTCTAAATGTGAAAGATATTTGTAAGTGTAAAAAACGTTACAAAGACGTTGCGTTCTCACCAAATTTGGTACATTTGATACGTAATGTAAACGGTAAAATTTGACGTTGTCGTAACGTACGTGTTTTAAATGTGAAAGATATTTGTAAGTGTAGAAAACGTTACAAAGACGTTGCAGTTCTCACCAAATTTGGTACATTTGATACGTAATGTAAACGGTAAAATTTGACGTTGTCGTAACGTGTTTTAAATGTGAAAGATAATTGTAAGTCTAGGAAACGTTACAAAGTCCTTGTTTTCCCACCAAATTGGTTCATTTGCAACGTTGTGAGAAATGGCTAATTGTAACGTTGTCAAAACATGGTTTGAATGTGAAAAATATTTGTGATTGTAAAACACGTTACAAAGACGTCATTTTCTGACCAAAATGGTTCATTTTCAACGTAGTGCAAACGGTTAATTTCAACGTTGTCGAAACGTGTTTTCAATTGAAATGTAAAAAAATATTTGTAAGTGCAGGAAACGTTACAAAAAGACGCTATGTCCTCACGAAATTGGTTTATTTGCAACGTTGTCGAAACGGTTAATTTTGACGTTGACGAAACGGTTAATTTTGACGTTGACGAAACGGGTTTTAAACGTGAAAAATATATATACATGTATGTGAAACAGAACGTGACAAAGACGTTGTGGTCTCAACAAATTCGTTTAATTTGTGACGTGAAGTAAATGTTAAATATATAACGAATATACATGTTTGCCTCGAGTTGTGGTAACTTTAAATACTGATCGGTGGAGGCACAGGCATATGTTGGCTCACACAGATGAACTTAACGTGGTAATTGAGAGTGAGAGTGGAAATATGATGTAAAGAAAACGTTTCTCCGACGTTGTAATTTTGCCATGGGTTAGTTGCTGACAAAAGTCTGACGTTCTGTCCCGGGGGGTTCACTCCAATATACCTCTTAATACCTATGTGCCGCGCCAAAGACCCCCTTTTTGAGCATTTTTTCCATGTCAATTTCCTCTCAAAATTGGAAGTTTCCATGTATTATTCCTCTCAGAGTTATAAAATTCCATATTTTCTTCCTCTGAACTTCATAGATGTCCATGTCGACTTCCTCTGGAGCTTGCCGGGACTAAAGTTGGCGAATTATCGGTAAATTGACTAAAACTCCACTCTTCCGGCGATTTGTCAGACCTCGGGACAAAATTTTCGGTTTTAGTCCCTTTCAACAAGGGCGAGCGTTACAAACGGAAAGTACATCGTTCGCAAATTTGATGTATTTCTCGTTCGGCTTTTTATCGTATTCTGTTCTATCAACCAATAGAAATAGAGGAATTCCCGCGTCGAAATCAACATGGAGGACAGTTCCAAGTTCAAGATATTGCTGCTTAAAAGCAACTTGGGAGCCGTACTGCCAGCTTTCGAAGGTAAGAATGATGCATTTATGTTACACAATCACCAAAGGTTAAGATGAAAGCATTCCATGGCCGGTACTTGCAGCGAGAACACAAATAATCTCATCTGAAAGTTGGGATCGTTTCAATTTTCATAATTTTTGAAATGAACTTTTGAATATTCTGATATTTGAATCGATGTTTTTGATTTTCAATTTCATCACGATTTCAATCATAATTCCCGGTTCATAATTTTCGTTAGGTCAATTACAAGGGGTCCAGGGGTCAATTAACCATCAGCGACTTTGAAGTCAGATCCGGCCCCGGGGATCTGGCGCAGAGGTGTGGATTGGATGGTGAAGTGTTTATGGCAAATGGTTTATGCAGTTATCTTAATCTTGATGGTGATCTCTGTTAGATCATCTACCTCTTTCAAAGAATAGACATTGCCCGGGGAGTCAGTGATTGCCATCTTTAGCCTGATAGATAATCATGATGGCAGAAATACAGAAATGCACAAACATGTATCAGTTTCATATGCTTTAGAAAATGTACACGTTTGCGAACAAATAGTTCAGGAGACAATAGAATCATCGATTTAATTCCTCACTTAAGTTACATAAACGGTTTTTCGAAAAACAGTTAAGATCTGCACTTTTAAATAACTTAATCAAAAAATCCAAGATGGCCGAAACCAGGAAGCACATGGCATTTGAGTATAATCTGACCATCAAAATTAACTGTCTTTTGGTTGGATTTTCTCTCAATTTTTTAGTTCCACTTATCATTTATATAACCAGGCTCACTGTGATAATGCAAATAGAAACAGTAAACATTCTGGAATGGGAATTTGAGTCCTCTGAAAATGTGACAGAAAAATTGACAAAAACAGTAGCACGGCAAAGGTCCCTGAACATTTTTTTTTCTAATTTCTCTGAAACATCCCTTTAATATAGCACAAAATGGAAGGAGCTTTAGAATTTTGAAATCTCTCATACAAATTAAAAAAATAGAAAAAAACAATTTGAGAAGTATACTTTTTTCCTTGTTTTGATCCCAATTTTTTTATCGGGTAATTTTTCAAATTTCCGTTGTTCCTTCTTTTTTCATATATGTTTGAAGTATATTTTCTGAAATGTTCAGATATTTTGAATCAGCGGTTTTTCACGGGCTACTCCTAGAAAAAAATCTTCTCAAATTCTTTAAACGGCACTTTTTTTCTCAAACTAAAGTTTTTTGTTGTTCTTTGATATCTTTGTAATGATAACACTGCACAAGCATATGTGAAATAACAAAAACGACTTCTCAGGAAGAGTTTGAAAATTTCAAGATTGTGAAAATTTCTGAAAATCGATTAAGTTAACAGTCACCTTAACCCGAACCGTTTGTGTAACTTAAGTGAGGAATTAAATCGATGATTCTGTTGTCTTCTGAGCTATGCCTATTTTTCGCAAACATTTTCATCTTCTAAAACATATGATGCTGATACATGTTTGTGAGAAAAAATGTCGTGGGGATTCTGCCTACAATGTGTGAAATAAGGAAAAAAGAAAAATCGTACCTTCGACGTTCCGACATTTTGTTACCAAAACGAACCGTTTGGTAACCAGTGTAATCGAGTGGATCACCAGTGAATAGATAGCATACTATATTTAGGGAGCTCTTTAATTTTTTTGAAAATAACATGGCAGAGAAGCATTGAAATATGAGGCCACAGATATGGTAGCTAAACTGCAAAACAAACTAAAATAAACAAAAGTAAGAACATGTATAAATGTTTCTATTTTTACATGTTCTGTTTCAATGTGGTCCTTTAATTGCTTATTTTTTAGATTCAGAGAAGTTCCAAACATTCAAAATTTTACTGTAATCTCATCTACTCTACGACCCCCACTTAAATTTGTAAAAAACATAAGTGGGGGTAACCAAACTCGTCTGGCCCTGTTATCCACTCCCTGATTTTGAAATGTCGTAGACCAACAACGTCAGGCGTAGATAACTGGGCCATACGGGTTTTGTTAAAGTGGGGGTAGAATGCGATACATCGCATGATGTATGGTCTCTCTAAAATTCTCTTATTTTTAACATGGGAAATCGTCACTTCAGCAAATTCACATGTCATTTATTTATGTTCCAAAATTTATTTAGGCTAGTATT